CAGTTAGGACACCCTGGCCCTACAATAGCCCACTGTGGGCTCAGCTGCTCCAACACAGTAATAATACATGAAAACTAAACCAGGTCCTAGATACTCACAACCTAGCTTGACCTTGAGATCTAGCAGACTCCAGTTAAAGTAGCTGATCCCTCCTTGTAAGTTAGAACTGGAACTTTAAGAACTGAAATTCATTGTACATAATACCTGGTTAATGAGCAAGGGACTATTCTCACTGCACCTTGGTAAGAGCCCACAATTGCCTGAAATCTGCAAAAGGTCAGTGCTTAATTATATTACATTATGAAGTCCAGAGGCAACCAGCAAACACTTTGCTGTCATGGATCTCACTAATGTATCCTAGTCAGCGCTGTCTCCACAGCAGGCAGCTGCAGATAGTCCACCTCCACGGCTGCCCCACACACTTACTTGAGGCCCCTCAGTACTCAGCCACCCATCATGCTTTGGTTCATAGAAACAGACGCTCAGAGTCTCAGCCCACCAGAGACACCCTGATTACAAAGTGGATCAACCACGGGCCTCCTGTCCTGTGGAATGGGTGACCCTCCCTATTTTGAGAAGGATACCATGATGCTGGCTCAGGTCACCTCTCCTAACCCCTTGCCCCACACAGGGAGCCCCTCTGTAGGAAAGGAATGACTGTCAAAGAGAAAGCGCAGGCTGTGTGTGTGACACTGCCACACATCTGAAGTGGCGAAGGTCGGGAATCTGCTCCCTTTCACCCTGTACCCAGGATGCCCTTGATGAAGGATGAGTTGCTAAGGCCACCACATTTATCCATGCTTTTACAGATATATTAGCACTGGACCTCCTGGTCAACAACTGTCCCTGTAATCACATTCGTGTTGAGCTGTTTCTTAAGGGCCTTCTGCTTTAGGACAGTGTGCTCTGGGAATCTCTTTCCTCTCAGAGTGTCAAAGTGTAACCCAAGGTCTCCCATGTTTCTGCAGATACCAAGAACACAAGGTCAAGCTTTGCAGGACACTCCCTGCCCTTCAGATTTGTGGACATTACTGACAATTCCTAAGACACATGTCTTGCTTCTCCAATCGAACAGTCCTGAGCCCTTACAAACACCACTCAGCAGTAGCTCCATTCCCCTGCTGGGTCTCAAACAGCTGGAATAATGTGTGGGCTACATAAGGACAAGTGCAACCCTAAATGGGTGTCTATCTCACCCCTGGTCAGCACCTCCCTTATAACAAGCTCCTGGCTGACTCTCACCTCAACTAGGCTTTCAAATTCCTTCCCATCTCCCTTTCCTAGGCTTTCCTGTGAGGCCTTGGTGTGTACATGAACTCTCTCCCTGTGGACCTGAAATAACCCCCTGTCCCTTCTATATTCCTTCCTGTCTGCCTCTCCTGAGGAGGCCAGTCCACAGGCTCACACTCTTCTGGTCCATGTTCCTCACAGCCTTACCCATAAGCTAGATTCCCGCCCTCCTGGTGGGGTGCATTTGAGCTTACGGTGTCACCACTTAACAACCTTTCTCGGTATTTAGTTATAAGTGGTGGGTATCTTATCTGCGCTCACTTTCTCTGATCTCTCCAAGAAATTGAAATTAGTTTTCCTGGGGCATTTCCACAGACAATGTGGGTCACCAAGACAGGAGACAGAAAATCCACTTTCTCTGATCTCTCCATGGAATTGAAATTAGTATTCCTTGGCAATTTCCACAGACAATGTGGGTCACCAAGACAGGAGTCAGAAAATCCACTGAGAAAATACCAATTAACATTGCAGACAACAAGGAGTTCAATTCCATATCCCAGAATCCAACCCTAACCTCCCACAAATGGTGATTCTGGTGGAAGTCAGGCAGCAATGCATGGCAAGGGCAGCTGCACACCCCTCTGCTCACATTCCACCTTGTTACCCCTGGTCTGGGTGCTTTGATTGACAGCCAGGAGGCCCAAACCCTCCAAGTAGCCATCATTTCCCACAAATCCACATGAGTGCTCACAGCCACATGACACCAACCTTCATCAAAGTTATCCCTGCAGTCTGAACACTCATTGGTGGACCTTCCCAGTTCAACCATTAGGCAGGTGAAAGGCCAAGGGTTAATTGGCCAGTGAGCGGGTGACCCCAGGTTGGTGCAGAAGCCCCACCCTCAGCCCAGATGACCCCAGGTTGGTGCAGAAGCCCCACCCTCAGCCCAGATGCTGCACTTCATGAAACAGAGAGTGACAGCATCCAAGAACACCAGAGGGCAGGGAAGGTCCTGTGATTAAAATCTGTCGGCAGCATGCCCCCTCTCTTCACCCTGGGCAAGCCCTCCACTACCCAGCCCTCTAAGATTGGGTCCTTTGGTTCCATCATGTGGTCTTTTCCCTGCATCCCTCCAGATCTCCCCCATGATCTCTTCTCCTGTTCCTCCAACCATGAACACAGTCACCTTCTCCTTAATGACATGAATACCACTGCACTTCATATGTGCGTAACCAAACAACTAAGTTACCACATCTACCATATTGACCAAAAGAATACACCATGATATCATTATTATAAAAAAAAAACAGTTTAAGCAAAGTTTCTAATTCTACCAAGATATCGTTGGAGACACCAGAGCTTCAGGTGTGTTTTCTTGCACATTACTATGGAAGTGAGGGCACTGGGCTGCAGCTGGCCCACAGAGACCCTTTCCTCCAGCCCCTTCCTCTTATTCTCACTTTCACATTTCTCATGACCAATGTTTCCTTTGCTGCTTAGGGCACCTTGTAGCCTACTCTCTAAAAGGCTCCTCTGCTATGCATACCACTCAAATGCCCCAAGTAACCACATTCAGAACCAGTGTCTAGACACCAAGGAGCAACACTAACATGGCTTCTGCCTGAAGAATCCACACTTTCTTGCTCAGGGATATTGCACAACATGCCTTTCAAGAAACTCTGGATGCCCTTTTTTATCTCTGGGGATTCCTATCTTCCGTGGAGTGGACCTGGTTACTTTATTAAACTTCAATATCTTCCACTCTGTAAAAAAGCGACAACAAGATAAAATGCACAGATACTCCAAGGACTACATTCCCAGGGTTGAGGAAAATTATACTGAAGACACACCAATTTATGTCTTCAGTTTAATATAATCCAGGACCAAGACATGAAAATTTCTATGAACAAATGAAAGCCCGACAAGAGAGGTCTATAAATGGCATGCAGGAAGCTGCTCCATCTGCCTGTGTGCCTGCTGCACCTCCCTTAGTCACAGCCTAAAGGGGAAGCGAGGAAGCCCAGGAAACAGAATGCCCACTTGTTGGAGACAGAGAAAGACAAATTACATGCAGGGGGCGCCAGCATTTCTAAGACCAACTTGGTGGAGAGTTTCTCACCAGAAAGCCAGGCATTTGAGGGAAACATTCACGATGATCCCATCAGACTGGACTGATGTGCCAAGACAGAACCCATAAACCAGCCAGACGATGACCTAAGTCAATGACGATGCTCCTACTGGAAACGTTTTTAAGAAATCAAGATCCCACCTAGCACAGATGACCTGTCAGAGTGCCAGTCCGGTCATCTGTTGTTGAGTTGGTGGCTTTCCTCTTACTCAGAGATGATATCCACGGTATGAAATGAAGGGCCATTAAAATTAGTGATATGAATCCACCTATAAATTGCCTAAGTAGTAAATTTAAACAAAATCTAGCTTGCAAATTAAGCCTGATAAGTCAAAACTTCACAAAAATTCTGAGTAGAGAAATAAACAAAAATGTTTAAAAGTATAAATGAGTTCAAGAACATGTTAAAAGAATGATAAAAATCAACAAGTAAAACAACAACAATAACACTTTTTTCCTCTTTCACCAAAGTGAAACACCCTGTAATTAGCAGAAAGTTCTCATTGAAAGGTGTAGGTGAAGTTAAAATACATATGTAAGAGAATTGGGATAATCTACTTAAGAAGCATTTTTACCAAAAGGAAATATTTTCATTATTTTAACAATGATTGTAAAATTAATGTATCTTCCATGCAGCAATAAATTAATACCAAAAATAATTTAGAAATTCCACTATCCTGAGAAAATTACTATGAACTATTGTCTTTTACATTTATAGTTATTTTTCTATTGTGCATACCCATGAAATCATACCCATATCACTTGCTTCTTATTTACTTAAAAAAAGGAAAGAGTATCATGTATATATATTAACTTTCTTTAATGACATATTGTGGATTTTTTACACTGTTATACTTAACTATATCAAAATACAGTTATATAACATAATTTTAATGTCTATAAGTATCAAATGATGACTAAATAAGAATTTATTAAAATAAATATTTAAAGGATATTTGACTTATTTCCAATTTCCAGTTATTTTTATTGACAAATAATATTATAATGGGAATCTTCTGTACATGTCTGGGTACTTGTCTAATTTCTTCTTTAGGCTAAAAGCCTAGAGAGAAATTGCTTTAGTAAAAAAGTGTTCATATTGTGGATCATCACAAGATAGATGTCTGAAGGGTCAAGACTTGGGCCAAAATGTGCATGCCACTTAAATTCTACAACAATACTACTAAATTGTTCTCTATAAGATTATTTTAAAAACTAAAACTGATGGACTTGGTGATGCACACCTTGAAATCCCAGTGCTCAGTAGGCGGAGGAAGAGGATTGTGAATTGCCAGAAGCAACTCATAGAGACCCTGTCTCTACATAAAATTTAAAATGTGGTTGGGGATGTGGATCAGTGGTAAAGTGCCCTGGGTTTAACCCCTGGTACAAACGAAAAACCCTCCTATTATCTTACCCTGTTGAAAAAGGGGCTTTCACCTGCTTTATAATAAACATATTCAACTAAAACCAAACAAAACAAAATAAAAATAAAAGAATCTGCTGTCTGTACCAGTTGGAGGCTCTGGCTAGAGGCCCATGGCTTCCCCTCCTTGAGCAGCTGATTAAGACCACACCCCAACTCCTTTCCTTATCAAACTCCCAGTCAGGGCCTCCATGTACCTGCCCATCACCATGAGACAAAAACCACAAGGAGGGGCAGCCCTGTGGCCAGGGCCTGGAGAATTATTGAAATCAGCCAATCCACAGGGTGCAGAGAACCCTGGCCAGTACCAGCCCAGCAACCCTGCTTCAGATGCTTCCTAGAGCCTGGCCTGTCTCCCTCAGTGGCCCTGCCTGGCAGCCTGCTCTTCTTCAAACTGTAAGTAAGACTTCTGGTTTTCATCTACCCAGGCTCAGTGTTGTGTCTCATCATAAAGAATCTTGTTCTTGCAAGAACCCTAAATATGTTGGGGCCAGAACCTTCATGGGGTACTGAAGTGATCAGAGAAGAAAAGCAGATTCTCCTGATTGCTAAATATCCTTTTGTTGTTGTTGTTTGCTTGTTTTGCTTCAAGCTTTTTATTCTGTCCTTTGTATTAACAATCTTTTTAGAAATATAGAGGCATCAGCAAGGCCCAAGTCTGAACCTTGACATGCACATGGATTTGCAGACCCACCCCCATCAGGATGTAAAACTGCTCCTCTCCCCCAGGGAGCTCCAGTGCTGTCCCTGGTGACTCAGCCCTTCCTCTGCCCCCTCCTCCAGGAACTGAACTCTGGGAACCTGGACCCCAGGGCTGGCTCTGCTGTTGCACTCTTAGAGCCCCATGGGACTGCCTCCAGCATGCAGCCTCTACAGCCTGGCTCCTCCCAGCACAGACCCTGCTGATGCACCTTCCTCTGTGAATGAATATTCCCTTCTGTTTGCCCCAGAGTGATACCTTATGCCTTTTCCCCACTACTTGGAGAATATTGGACTTGTTTCTAAATTTTGTCTCCTGTGAATAAAATTGGATTGTGTGCACACACATTTTCATGTGGACAGGAGTCATTTCTCTGCCTGGGTCACACAGCAGGTGACTGATGACAGGAAGCCACCATTTTCTCCAGTAGGGCTAGATTTCTGTGTCCCCCCACCTCCCACAGTGCACAGGAAGGCCATCTTCTCAGATCACTCATGGAACCTGTTGGTTTACCTTTTTCCACTCTAATAAGCCTGGTGTGGTTTTATGTTGTCTTTTTCTAGTGACAACTAGTGTGATAATGTGATGGTCACTTAAGAGTGAATGAACAAGGGTTGACTCTGCTCAGGAAACCAAGTCTGGAATCTAAAATAAGGAAAGTGTGGGTTGGAGCTCTCCTTGTGTCCTAGAGGCTGGTGTCACCCTGTGGTGGCTGACCCTGCCTTGAACTCCTTCTTTGGCTATTTGACCTTGAGGCTTTAAAGGTGCAGCAAGTGGCCCCTGCCCTGCTTCCACATGCCCTGCTGTGGGTTTCTCACAACCAGCTTTCTGTCCAGGGATCCTGTTCACAGTGTTTCAGGAAGAGCGTGAACGGCAGTGATTCAGAGAAAGGACATGATCCAGGACAGCCCCTGGGAGGACAGAGGACTGAGACTCCCCAGGATGCAGCCCTGGAACAGGAGCCTCAGGACCCTCCTGCTCTGCCTCCTGCTTCCCTGGCCAGGTGCAGGTGAGTGACAAAGGGCACAGCTGCCCTTTCCTTTCCCTGGTGCCTGGGTCAGGGCCCCTCCTCCTCAGGTGTCCCTGAGCCCAGCTCATGCCTCTTTGCTGGAGCTGAAGCCCAGGTGCTTCTGAATTCAGTCTATCCTTGTGGCTCTTGTTGACAACTCTGCTTTTCTATTTCCTTTGTGAGGATCAAATGATCCAGTCACCCAAAGCTGGTTTTTAATGGAGGTGCTGTAGAAGCTGTGTCTTAGGTAGCTTCTATGATGTGCTCAAGTTTGTTTGCACCTTCTCTAAAGCTGAGCCCTGAGTGCAGGTGCTCCTGGGGACCGTGGCCGCCTGCTGACAAACCTGGGTTGAGAGCTCAGTTCCCATAGTGCAGGCCCTTGTCAGAGTCTCTGTGTTCACCCTTTGTTGTGCTTTGACCTCTCCTGTTATTCCCTGTTGTGTTTGGCCCTGTGTGTTTGGGAAGGAGGGAGCCCCAGTGTGTGCAACACATAGTGCATCCTCTAACACACTGAGCTGGCGTCTGTCTTGAAGTTCTAGTGTTTTACAAGTGTTGTGGGGAAAGGTGATGAGAATCAAGGCATATGCAAAGGCACGAGGCCAACAAACCTGGGGACAAGCTCTGGGACCCCAGGGCCCTGCTGCCCCCACCTAATGCAGGCCCTTGTCAGAGTCTTTAATTTCCTCCTTTCTTAGGAATTTATTTCTCATATTATCCCTGTTTGGTCCTGGCTGGAAAGGAGGGAGCACAGCAGGGGCCCTGCATTATTCCCCTGTTGCCCACAGAGCTGGTCTCCTATTTGATAAGTGCTTGGGTTTGAGCTGTAATGATTAAATGTTTCCAATATGGAAACTGATCCAAGAGAAGACACACACACACACCGGCCAAACAACATATTGCTTGACACCAGCATGCATTCCCATAAATGAAAGATATCAGTGTGGGTGTGAAATGTCTGCACATCTCAGTGATTTTATTGAGAAACATCTTGTTGAACAATACACAGACATAACTTCTCAAAAAATAAAACAGATAATTTTAGACTCTAAAATAGTAGCTCAGCCCTCTATCTGAGAAAATATTTTCTACTAAAACACTAGAAAGCAAATGGGACATTGCAATAGGAATATATTTATTATTATTTTTTAAAAACTACTAAATGTAATGTTTTGAACAGCCAACAATAAAAAATTAAAAAAAAAGAAAGAAAGAAAAAAAAAACTACTAAATCTATGAATTTCTCTTTCATCTTAAAACTGCTCAGTTTAAGTATTATCACATGACAGTATTTCCAACATTAGTAGAATTTCACTAAGTAAAAGAAAATATTCCAGTCTTGGCTGGAGATCTTTTTTTTTTTTCAATTAGTTCAAATTGTGAAACATCCTAGCATTAAGGAGAAAGAAGCATGCCATACCTGCAATCCCAGGAACTGGGAGACCAAGGCAGGAGGTTGGAGGTTGGAGCCAGCCTCAGCAACTTCAAATAAATAAAAAGGACTGAGATGTACCTCGGTGCCCCTGGGTTCAGTCCCCAGTACAAAAGAAAAAAAAAAATTTCATACAAAGACCTTGTAATAAGTATAAATACTTTTCCTAGTAAAATCTCTTTAGGACTTGTCCTAAAAAGTGAGTGAATATACTCACAGAGACACAGACAAAATAAATAGGAACAAATTACCAAAATATATGCTCAGAATGTTAGAAAATCTATGGAGGAGATGAACCTTATGCATATATATTATGTTATTATATTTCTTTTTGTACCACCTAATAATAACAGCTGATAACAGGAGAATTACTTTTTGGTGCCCTAAAAATTTTGAATGACTGTTTATGAATTATCAGTGCCCTGTGACATTTGTCTCACTTTATACATGAGACCTTTAGAAATTGATAATTCACCAAATATACCTTGTCTATAATTAAGATTCACCTGCATCCACTGGAGGACACCTGGGGAAACCTGCTGTTCCCATGAATTTGCTCATGATCTTCCCATGGGGATAAGGAATCCAGTTCATTTCCTGGCTCCAAAGGCCTGCAGGTGCCTGCTCACACTAACTGCACAGCAGGGCTTTCATTCTGAAGTTTGCTTTTGGGTGATCAATATTTTAAAAGCACACAGTACTGGAAGCTTTAGGCCAAGGTCAGAATTCCTCCCCCTGATCCTCCTCAATCCTCTCTGTTGACTGTGGGCTGTGGCTTCTGACCTTCCCTGTCACATTGTGAACCCCACGTCCTCTCCTTCTGCTTCCCTCCCTCATCCACCTTCAGTGGAAGTTCATCCCAAGGTCGGGTCAGACCAGCCCTAAGTTCGGAGGTCATCCTGGCCACCTCGTGCCCTTCACTGCTGCTGGGAGGTTCTGACCCCACAGGCAGTCTGGGGGACTCTTCAGTTCCCTGAGCTGGGACCTGTCCTGGTTTTCTCATTTGCATATTCCCAGTAGTTCTTTCAATGTCTGTCAACGACTTAATTTTCCAAGATATGCTTTCCAGTTCCTCCCATTACTGGCTCTGGGAATTCATGAAACTCTCCCCCACCCTCTCACCATCCATCACTCTGAGGTTCCTTCGGGGTTTCCTGTGTGGAATCCCATCTGCTGTCTTCCTCTTGGATTTCCTCTTTTTTTGGCTGAGTCACATCTTGCTATGGTCCCTTAACAGGCATGCAGAAGTGCATTTCAAAGCTCCTACTCCAGGAATTCTTCTATTATGTCATCAAATTCAGAATGCAGTTTGGCGAAGATTTAAGATGCCTCTGAATTCTGAAACACGAGCCCCCTATTTTGGTGCAGTGTGGTGGGCACTTCATAGAAGAGATTACAAATACTGATATCTCAGGCATCTCAGGCCCTAGAAGGGCCTCTGCATGCTGAGTGAGGAGCCCCCAAGGCTCCCGGGCAATGCCTCTGCCTGTGTGTGCTGAGCAGGCCTCCTGGTCCCATCGCCTTAGTCTCCAGGCCTGGGAGCTCTCTGGGGCTCAGTTGACTCTCAGCACAGTGCAGCTCCTCCATGAAAGGTCTGCTCTCCCCCGCTGCTCCAGGCCTTGCAGGCTTCCTTCCTCCTGTGCAACTTGTCTGAACTTTCTGTGCAGAGTAGCTTGGAAGAGAATGAGAAGGGAAGTGGCCCCAGAACACTGCCTGGGGGAATGCAGTGCTTCTACCTGGGCTCCGGGTCTCAGACCCCAGCGGAGATCCCATTCTGGAAATCTGCTGCCCTCCCTGAAGGGCCTGCAACAGCCTTCCCTGTTCCCATCTCTGGTTCCCCATGATTTTCAGGGACATGGCCGGGGGTTGGAAGCTCTAGAAAAGTGGTATTTGGTTCTACCCTGTTTCTCCAGCCACCCACTGAAGCCTGGATTTGTCTGCAAGAAAGGAGATGGGAGGAAGGGCCACCCAGAGTGACACCCCTGGAGACCCAGATGAAGGGTGCATCTGCCTCTGCTGTCACCCAGGGTGCACAGGAGGAGGTCCTGTCTAGGACACATCTGCTTACCCAGGGGCAGTGGCTTTTCCCTCAGCCAGGGAAAAACTCTTCAGCTGTCCTGGTCCTTGGAAATCTTTCAGCATGGGATGAATGTCCTTTGATCCCGTCATCTCCCACCATTGACATTCTACTCAGTTGCCACTCACAGGATATTAGGAATTGATCTACTTTATAGAGGGTACTTTCTTCATCAGAGAAGGAACATTGGGCTATCCTGCAATGATGTGAACTGTTTTGCAGGAGAGCTCAGCTATTTCCTCTGCCGCAACTGGTTCTGATAGCACTGATGTAAACCTATTTGTGAGGATCAGTACTGTTTTACAACTCCTTTGGATGCCCAGGCTTATTTTTCAAATACTAAGGGGTTTGAAGACTAGAAAAGTAACACAGAAGCCTGTTGAAGACATCTTAGATCACAGAACTCTTGAATGACATGATGGTAGAAAAGTATGATATACTTGGAGCTGCCTATAGGAAGGCTTGATGTAGAGTCTTACAGTTTTCTTGAAATGATCACACTGGGTGACCATTTTGATCCCTCTTTCTTATCTTTATTTTTTTCAGTTATTCAGATTTTTTTGGAAGATAGCATTGAGGTATGACAAACATTTTTTTAAGAAAGAGAGAGAGAGAGAGAGAGAGAGAGAGAGAGAGAGAGAGAATTTTTTATATTTATTTTTTAGTTTTTGGTGGACACAACATCTATTTTATGTGGTGCTGAGGATGGAACCCAGTGCCACGTGCATGCCAGGTGAGCACGCTACCACTTGAGCCACATCCCCAGCCCCATGACAAACATTTTTAAAGTTGCATGTATTTTAAAGGACACATGTGGAGGAGTTTGGGAATTAGCATGCACCTGTGACATTGTCTTACCATCAGGGAACTAATCTCGACCTTCCTCCAGTGTCTCCTCCTACCATCTTGCTTTTGTTATTATTATCACCCTGTGTGTGTGTGTGTGTGTGTGTGTGTGTGTGTTGAGGATGCTTAGCACAAGACCTTCCCCTTAGCAAGCCTCTGGGTACTGTACAGCACTGTACATTAGACCTCAGATTGTTGATCTCACATGACGGAGATCCCATTGATCCTTCAGCCCCTGACTTGCTCTTCCCCAGAGCCTCGTCACACCACGCTCTCATACAGTGTGGGTCTGCCTGTGTCAGCCACTCCACTTGGCACAGTGTCCTCTGGAGTGTGCCTGTGGTCATAAGGGTGCGGTGTCCTTGCTCTGGGAGCTGAACACGCAACTCTGAGGTGTAACCTCGTTTCCTGCAGCCTTTCATTGTGCAGCAGATATCACTGTCTGCACCGAGGTGAGGGACACAGCAATGTGCATGACAATGCGGGTTCCTCTTCCTGCTCAGAGTTCTCCTCTTTCACGTGTGTGTCCTGAGGTAAGAGGACTGAAGCAGGGGGCATTTCTGGGTAGAATGCACAGCCCAGCTCCAAGCTGTTGCCTGCAGTGGCGGGACTGTGCCCATTCCCAGCAGGAGGGGCCAGGCCTGTCTGCTCCTCACCTTTGCCAGTATTTCTTCTTTGTTCTTTGGCTGACAGCCACTCCTTGGGTGGGGTGGATAGTCCACTGTGGCTTTGTTGCATTTCCTTGGAGGTTCCTAGCCTTACAGAAGCTACATGGTCATTTGCATATGTCCTTGAAGGAAGTGTCTTTGCATGTCCTTTCCTGTTTTCTTTTGGGCTACTTTTATTAGTATGTTTTGTGGTATTTGATTGCCAGGTCATTTCTGTATCTGAATATCAATCTTGTCCAACACAAGGATTGTGATATTTCCTCCTGTCCCCTGGGCTGCCCTGTCATTGCTTTAATTGATGCTTTGCTTTTTAGTTGCGTGTAATCTACTTGATATTTTGATTTCTGTTGCCTGTGCTTTGTTTTGGTTTAAAAAAAAAAAAAAAAGAATCACTGGTCACACCACTGTCTAGTGGCTTTTTTTCTGAAATTTCTTGGAACCTCCATCCTTGGTCTGATGTTTGACACTTTAACCTATTTTCGGCAGACTTCTAAGTGTGACTAAGGGTGAGATCTCCTATTCCAGGCAGATGGCCAGTCTTCTAATCCCACCTCTTGGACTGCTTTCCACGACACCCATTCTTGATGCCCTGGTGGACCACCTGACCACATGCTTGTGAGTGTCTCTGGGCTCCCTGTTCTGTTCCAGAGGCCCATCTGTCCATCCTCCTGCCTGTGCTGTACCCTGCATTTCCATGCAGCTTTGCAGTTGGAAAAGTGGAATAGCTCCAGCTTTACTCTTTTGGCTGAGATTGTCAACTCAGTCATCATGGTCTTTTGTGCTTCTGCATGAACGTTTATAACTTTTTAACATTTTTGTGAAAAGTGCCATAGGAATTATATATATATATATATATATATATTTCAATCAACAGATAAATCTGTGTCTTTATCAAGTACAGCACTGGAAGTGCACACACGCTGTGCTGTGGTCAAGTCTAGCTGGCGAGCAATGGAGAGCTCCTGCAGTTGCTGTCTTTGTGGAGAGAAGGCTGGACACTCCCTCTGTGAGGTCTTCCAGAGCACAGCCATCCTTGAGAACTGCCCTCTCCTCACCACCTACTAGAAGCTGCATTGCTTGTGTTGGTGCCAATGGGAAACAGAGATTTTTAAAGTGTAAAGTCTTTCCATATATTTCTGCTTCTCTATTTCCCTCAAAGAGTTTCCTCATTTCCAGGGACCTGGCGATGCCGCCCCTGGGTGTGGATCCAGGGTTCAGCTCATGCTGCTCTGGGGCATCTCTATCTCCACAAGCTGGGGACCTATCAGACAGGAAGGCTCTCAGCCTCAGTGTCTCAGGCCCTGCTGCACCTTCCCAGCCTGTGGCCTCCTCCCTGAGGAGGCACATGGGGCTGGAGCAGCTCAGAGCCTGAGGTCTGTCCAGACCAAGGCCGAGCTGCCCTCCCCTCCACCTGGTGCTGCTCTCTCCAGCTCTGAGGTGAGGTGACATGGGCACAGCCAGCACAGGAGCTTGAATGTGTGAGCTTGACAACAACTTTCCTTTGTTTCCTGTGAATCCCTAATTCCTAGAGCAGTGTCTGCAGTACCATTGAATATTTGAATTACAAGTTTATCAGGTAGAAAAAGCAGTCTAGGCAGAAACTGAGTGGGATCTTCCTGACTTTCTCTCTTACTTAATGCTTCTGATGCCAATTTTGGTCATTTCTGTATGTCCCCAAACAGTGGACGCCTTATTTCTGCACAGCAGGCTTGAACCACCCAGTAAATGAAGAATGGGAGTTAGTGCAGATGAGGAAACCACATCTTTCTTGACAGATCTAGTTTCCCTGCCATGTTACAACACAAAGTTAAAATACATAAAACTGAAATTGAAGGGTTCTGGATTGTTAGGGATATGATGGTCACATATGAACATATGTATATAATGAAAAATATAAAGATTATTGAGGAAATGGGAGAAATGAAGTGTCCTGCCAAGCCAAAAAACTGTCTCCAGAAATGAAAAAAGAATATAGAACCTCGTTGTTTAACTGAGCATTAGAGAAAACTGATGCACATGCTAGGCTATCTGCTGATGGAATCCATCAGGCCCCAGAGGACCCACTGAGCCATTGCAGAGATGGATGAGATCTCCCCTGGGTGCTGGTCCCCAGATGCCCTCTCTCACATACACACTCTCAAAACAAGTAACTGATACATTGCTGTTGAGTAAGATGTGAAAGTACCTTTGCCACGCATCTTTCACCTTACATTAATCTTGTAATTGAAGTTGCCATTTGTTTTAGTTATTTGCTGTTTTCCAAAGGTAAATTGGAACTCTTTCTGCTATAATAAATAGGTAGCAAAACTGGGGGCCTGGTGCCTGGGCCCAATCTGCACTGCCACAGGGAGAAGAGTCTCCCTCTGTGAGGTACACAGTTCAAACTGAAAAATCCCAGGCCTTCAGACAAACACACCTGATTTAAAACTGGCAAGAGGCACATGTGCCTTTTTAGAAGATTTCCATACATTTCACAGAGACTGAAAAAGGCTGTCAAGAATCTCAAGTATTCTCAAGGAAGCTGTCTAAGGAGAGAGGGGAAGAAATATCTCTGTTTTGGCACCAGGAAAGTTCCATGTTTTCCCTTGGATTTGTACAGGTTGAGCTTCCCTTATCTGATAGCTTGGTACTAGAAGTCTTTTGAATATCAGAAGTTTTCGAATGCTGGGATTTTTGCATATTTAAATGGCACATCTTGGGCTGTGACCCTAACCATGGCATTCACTTGTGTTATATGTGTACTTACACACAGAGCCTGCAGGTGATGTGGCATTATTCTCAGTGAGCCTAGTCTTGACAGAGACCTGCCTGTGAGCTCAGGTGGGCGGTTCCACATGTTGATGCTCAAAAAATTCTGACTTTGTTCTTGGATTTCAGACTAGTGGATTGGGGATGCTCCAGCTGAATTTTCCACTCCCAACACTATGTCAGAGATAACCTGAGGTCAAGTTTCAGGATATTTATCCTAGGCCTTTCCCTCATGTTAATATACTACACTGGGAAAACTCTGTGGCATCTCATCTTTGTTTTTCCCCTAGCACAAAATCTTTACTTTAAATGCTTTCATATTATATCTCACTATTTGTTTATATGTATTGAATAACATGGTTTAAATCGAGGGGACATTTGCTTGATAGTATTGCAATTCTCATTTTATGCCATACTAATCATGGGTTGTGGGGCAAGTTACCAAGTCACTCTCTGACTCAGATTTCTCATCGCAGAGTGAGGGCAATCTCTATAACACACAGAGCTCTATGAGACTTTAATAACATAATTTATATGAAATTGATTTCAAACTCTAGGCAAACGGGAAACACCTGAATCTTGATTTAGCTCATTTGGCCCTTGCACAGTGGCTCTGTGTGGCTGTGACTTTTTATACCAATGGTGCTCTGGCATCCTGGTGTTAGGTCTGCTCAATAGCTTGGCACAGCTCTGTGTGCTCAGGGAGCTGGTCTGCTGCTCTCATCAGACACTTGCAGCCTCGCCTGACAGCCCTGGGCTATGACGCTTTATCTTCATGATTTCCAGGGCAATTCGACGTGATGGGACCAAGCTCACCAGTCATCGCCAAGGTTGGAGCAGAGGCCGTGTTCTCCTGCCACCTCAACCCCTCCACGGATGCCCAGGACATGGAGATCAGGTGGTTCCACGCCAAGAATTCAGAACTGGTGCATTACTATAGGAATTCCCAGGATATCCTGGAAAAGCAGCAGCCAGAGTACTGCGGGAGGACGGAGTTCCTCAAGGAGCAGATCAGTCAAGGGCAGGTGGCCCTGAGGATCCACCCCATCAGCACTTCAGATGGAGGGGACTACAGTTGTTCATTTGCAAGCTCCACACACCACAGTGCAGCACAGTTCAGTGTGGAGGTCACAGGTGAGCCTCTGTCCTGAAAGCTGTCAGGTGATTGGAGGTACATTTTTATTCAACCAGTACTCTACAGTGTGCAAGGACAGATGGCAGTGTCCCAAGGACACTGGGGAGGACTTCCAGAATGTTGGGGTTGAGATTGGTCTAGAGTGTCTTCCCACGGATTCGTGTTTTGATAAAAAGGACACTGACATCCCTTTTCCTTTCCAACACACTGATGAAGGGCAGGTGCAAGCAGGGCATCTAAGCGTGGCCTGTGCAGAGCCCCAGAAACATGTTTCCATCTAGAGATGTTGTAATTATTTCAGAAACACAGGAGGAGCTCGAGGGAGGTGGAGGGAACGCAATCAGCCCAGCTGCAGGCCTAGGGTTCTGGACCTCATTCCATCCAGACAGAACGTGCCCTGGTTGACTGGAATCTGACTCTTGAGGGAGATGTAGAACGGTGTGGGCAGCTAGGGAGAGATGGCCAGTGAGGAGGCCAGGGGCAGTGCCAGAATAAAGGGACGTGTCTCGGGAAGGTCTTCTGGTGAAGTCAACTTTCTGGTTGACAAAAGTGCTTGTGGACACAAGTTGGGGACCCATCAGAAAGACATTTCCGTACTAGTACTCCTAAGCAGGGGATCCAATAGAAAAGCAGAATAGATGCATGGACACAGGGGACACCACTCAACAATAGTGAGGAGAGCGTGGACAGGGGAGGAAAAAAGAAAAGGAGGAAATTCTAGACACATTAAAAAAACAGCCCAACCTCCCCCACTGGATTCCCAACTCTGGGACCCCTTCCCTTTGGAGAAGTCTCTCTCTGTATCTTTATTACTTTTGCAATAAACCTGCTGCTTGCTTGCTATCCCTGTGTCCTGGTCTTCAACTCTTTGCTGAACAGAGACAACAATCTCAGCACCCTTAGATGGGCACAGACTTGCACACTCATCCTAGGATATCCTTATCTGCTCATATCTCTGCCTAAGGTGAAACACTTACATCCCACATCTGTGCACACAGTCACCCCAGAAACTCCTGTGGGTCTGGGGTGGAAGAGTAAGGAAGGTTTCTAGTGAAAACATAAGCTAAGCCTGATTCAGCCTCCATCAACACCAGCACAGAGCCTTGTGCTGGTCTCCGGGAGGAGCTTCTCTCTCCCATTCCTTGAATGAACCCTGGGAGAAACCAGCCTGGTCCATCTCAAGGAGCATAGCGTTCATAACCTTGCAGAGCAGGGAAGCTTTCTTCTAGGCCCCTGTGACCTGTGTATGGATATCTCACCTGCCATTCAATGACAATCCTGAAAGTCAAGATGATTGGGAGAAGAGTCTGCCCATCACAGAGATTGTGCTTGGCCTAGTTACATTAGAACAAGTTTACACAATAAATGGCAGCATTTACCTGTTTCTTCCTGGACTGTAGGTAAATACTGATAAGCAGCTTGCTGGCAAGTTTTAAACAACAGTTGGTGCCAAAGCTTCTGCCAACCAGACCCTTTATAAATCTACCAGTTGAATCTCAGCAGAGTCTCAGAGGGGACAGTGAGCCCTGTCTGGGGCTAGAGAAAGCCTCCTTCTTGCAGCAGGCTCAAGGGTGGTCTTAGAGTTCTTACTGCAAGAGCCAGCCATGTGCAGTGGAGTGCCACCTGCAGAGGCCATAGAGAGGTCCTCCGGGAGCCGCAAGAGCCAGGCCCCTGGGCTTGTGCAGTGGCTCGGCCTCACTTTCTGGGCAGAGAGGTTTGTCTGTGACAATGA